AAGCTAAGCTTCATCAGCAATGGAGAATTAAAATCCTTTCCAGACAGCCAATCCCTAAAAGAACATGCCATCTCCAGACCAGTCCTTCAGGAGAGGCTTAAGGAAGCTTTGAGCACAGAAACAAAAGAACAGTTCAGTCATCGCAAAAGCACAGGCAAGCACAGAGTTAACAGAGCATACAGATCATCCACAGATAAAAAAAGACAGGAAAGCAGCCTCTTAAGAGCCTTATGACAGGGATAAACCTTCACATATCAATAATTAACTTGAATGTGAATGATCTGAATGCACCCCTAAAAATGCATGCAGTAGAAAACTGGATAAAGAAATATGATCTTACATTTTGCTGCCTCCAGGAAATCCATTTCACTGCAAAAGACATCCATAGGCTCAAAGTGAAGGGCTGAAAATTGATCTTCCAGACAAATGGAAAACAGAAAAGAGCAAGGATAGCTATTCTTATAACAGACAAAACGAATTTCAAACCAATAAAGTTTAGAAGGACATGGAAGAACACGACATAATGATCAAAGGCACAATCCACCAGCAAGAAATATCCACCTTAAATATATATGCACCCAACACAGAAGCACCCAGATTTATAAAACAATTGCTACATAAACTAAGAGACAACATAGACACCCACATAATCACAGTGGGAGACTTTAATACCCTGCTAACTGACCTAGTTAAGGCAAAAAACCAACAAGGAAATCTGGAACCTTAACTCAGCACTAGACCAACTAGACCTAATAGACAGCTACAAAACACTCCACCAAACAACCACAGCAAATACATTCTCCTCATCAACATGAAGCATACTCCAAAATCAATTACATTCTCGGACATAAATCAAGCATGAATAAATCTCAAAAGATTGAAATATCATGCATCTTCTCAGATCACAGTAGAATAAAAATAAATATTGCCACCAATAAGATCTCCCAAAACACACAAAGACACGGACAAACATGCTTCTGAATGACTTTTGGGTCAACACAAAAATCAAGACAGAAATAAAAAGATTCCTGGAAACAAATGAAAACAAAGACACAACCAAAATCTCTGGGATTCCATGAAACAGTGTTGCATGGGAAGTTCATAGCATTGCATGCTCCTACCAAGAAAACAGAGGAAGTACAAGTAAACAATCTAATGTCATGCCTAAAGGAGTTAGAAGAACAAGAACAATTAAATCCTAATTTCAGTAGGAAAAAGTCCAGATTACTAAAATAAAGTCACAATTAGAAGAAATAAAACACAAAAATATTATAGAAAGGATCTTTAAGACAAAAAGTTGGTTCTTTGAAAGTATACATAAGATAGACCCCTGGCTATACTGACTAAAGAAGAAAGTCCAAATAAACACAATTAAAAATGAAAAAAGTGATGTCACAATTGACCCTGAAGAAATCAAAAAGATTATCAGAGATTACTATAAACATCTGTATGCAAATAAAGTAGAAAATCTAGAGGAAATGGAGGATTTCTTGGCATCACACAACCTCCCAAGGCTAAAATAAGAAGAAATCGAAACCCTAAACAGACCAGTAACAATCCAGGAAATCAACTCAGTTATAAGAAAACTCCCTGCCAAAAAAGTCCTGGACCAGATGGCTTCTCAGCTGAATTCTACAAGACATACAAGAAAGAACTCATACCAATCTTACTGAAAGTATTCCAGGCAATCAAGAAGGAAGGCATTCTCCCTAGTTCATTTTATGAAGTTAATATCATCCTGATACCCCAAACTGGCAAAGACCCAACAAGGAAAGAGAATTACAGGCCAATATCCCTAATGAGCACAGATGCAACAATTCTCAACACGATTCTAGCAAATCATATCCAACAGCACATCTCAAGGTTTATCCACCACAACCAGGCAGGCTTCATTCCCAGGATGCAGGGCTAGTTCAATGTGCATAAGACCATAAGCATAATTCAGCACATTAACAGGTAGAAAAACAAGAATCACATGATTATCTCATTAGACACAGAAAAAGCATTTGCTAAAATCTTTTTTTTTTTTTTTGTGAGTTGGAGTCTCACTCTTGTCACCCAGACTGGAGTGCAGGGGCCGCTCCCGGCCACCGCAGCCTCGACCTGCTGGGCTCCGGCGATCCTTGTGTCCCTTCTTGGTAAAAACCCACAACACCTAGGCATCAAAGGAACATTCCTCAAAACATTAAGAGCCATCTATGACAAACCTGCAGCCAATATCATACTTAATGGGTAGAAGCTGGAAGCAGTCCCCCTAAGAACTGGAATAAGACAAGGTTGCTAGCTCTCATCCTTCTAGTCAACACAGTGCTGTAAGTCCTAGCCAGAGCAATCAGGCAAAAGAAGGAAATCAGGGATATCCAAACATGAAAAGAGAAAGTTAAGTTATCCCACTTTTGTGGGCGATATGTATACCTAGAAAACCCTAGAGAGTCTGTTAAAACTTCCTCACACTGTTAAACAACTTCGGTAAAGTCTTGGGATACAAAATCAATGCACAAAAGACAATTGCATTTCTATACACCAACAACAAGCAGACTGAGAACCAAATTTTTTTTAAAAATCCCATTCACAATAGCCACAACAAAAAAATAAAAACCTCGGCATCCACCTAACCAGACAAGTGAAAGACGTTTACAATGAGAACTACAAAACACTGCTCAAAGAAATCAACGGTGATACAAACAAATGGAAAAATATCCCATGCTCACAGATTGGAAGAATCAATATTGTCAAGATGTCCATCCTATTCAAGGCAATCTACAGATTCAATGCAGTCCCTATCAGATTGCCAGGATCATTTTCCACAGACCTAGAAACGACAGTATAGAATTTCACATGGAAGCAAAAAAAGAGCACAAATAGCCAAAGCAATTCTCAGCAACAGGAACACAGATGGAGGCATCACATTTCCAGATTTTAAATTATATTACAAGGTGACAATAACCAAGATGGCATGGTATTGATACAGGAATAGGCAGGCACATAGCCCAATGGAACAGAACAGAGAATTCAGAAATAAAAACTTGGTTCCTTAATCAACTTATTTTTGACAAAGCCATCAATAACAAACACTGGGGAAAGGAAACTATATTTAGCAAATGGTGCTGGGAAAACTGGTTAGCCACATGCAGAAGAATGAAACTGGACTCCTACCTCATCATATATAAAAATCAGCTCAAAATGGATCAATGACTTAAATGTAAAACCTCAAACTATAAGAATCTTAGAAGAAAACACAGGAAACACCCCTCTGGATATCAGAGTAGACAATGAATTCATGACCAAGTCCTCAAAAGCAATTCCAACAAAAGCAAAGATAGACAAACTGAAAGTTTTTGCACCATCAAGAGTAAAGAGACAACCCACGGAATGGGAAGAAATATTTGCAAGCTGTGCATTGGACAAGGACCTAACATCCAGGATCTACAGGGAACTCAAATGAATTGAAAGGAAAAAAACCAAAAAAACCATTAAAAAGTGGGCAAATGACATGAACAGACAATTCTCAAAGGAGGACATACAAACAGCCAATAAACACATGAAAAAATGCCCAGTCCCACTAATCACCAGAGAAATGCAAATTAAAACTGCAATGAGATACTATCTAACACCAGTAAGGATGGCTATAATTAATAAGTCAAAAAACAACAAGTGCTAGCACGGCTGTGGAGAAAAGGGGATGCTTCTACACTGTTTGGGCAAATGTAAATTAGTTCAACCTCTATGGAAAGCAATGTGGCGATTCCTCAAAGAACTAATAATCAAGCTTCCATAGGATCCAGAAATCCCCTTACTGGAAACATACCCAGAGGAATATAAATAACGCTATAGAAAAGATAAATGCTGTTCTCACTCATAAGCGTAACTTGAACAATTATAATGCTATAAGAAAGCGAGTGGCAGTAGTGAGAAACTGTGGGGGAGGGAATAAGATTGGCAGTTGAGGAAAACTGCTAGGGGAAGGAGGGGCATACCTCACCACCAAGGGTACTTGCATGATCAAGTTTATATATAAACTTATATATTGCACTGGAAATGTGATGCCTCCATCTTTGTTCCCGTTGCTGAGAATTGCTTTGGCTATTTGTGCTCTTTTTTTGCTTCCATGTGAAATTCTGTATTGTCGTTTCTAGGTCTGTGGAAAACTTATATATATATATACGTTTAGGTTTATATATACCTAACCCTGAATTGTACCCCCCATGTCTTTATTTTAAAAAAAAAGATACAAGCCAGGCTCGGGGGCTCAGCCTATAATCCCGTGCTTTGGGAGGCTGAGGTGAGTGGATTGCCTGAGCCCGCAGGTTCGAGACCCACCTGGGCAACTTGGCGAGACCTCATCTCTACAATACATAAAAAAAAAAAAAAATTAGCCGGGCGTGGTAGCGCGTGCCTGTAGTTCCAGCTACTTGGAAGGCTGAGGTGGAAGGATCGCTGGAGCCCAGCAGGTCAAGGCTGCGGTGGCCGGGAGCACGCCATTGCACTCCAGTCTGGGCGACAGAGTGAGACTCCAACTCAAAAAAAAATAAAAATAAAAAATAAAATAAAAGATACATGCATACACATATTATTGCACAATAGCAAAAACATGGAATCAACCCAGATATCCATCAAAAGTGGACTGGATAAATAAAATGTGATACATATACATGATGGAATATTATGCAGCCATAAAGAACAAAATAGTGGTCTTCATGGCAACTTGGGTGCAGATAGAGACCATCATACTAAGTGCACTATCACAGAAACAATGAACTGAATATCACATGTTCTTACTCATAAGCAGGCCCTGATCACTAGTCACATTAGCACAAGGGTGAGATTGGCAGACACTGGACACTGCAAAGGGGGGTGGGGACACACTAAGTACCTGTTCCACTATCAGGGGGAGAGAGGGCCAGCTAGAAGCCAAACTTCACCTGCATGCAACCTACTTATGTAGTAAATCCTTACTTGTACCCTCAACTCTAAAATTAAAAAAAAAAAAAAAGGATCAATTAACATGATCATTACATTTTATTTTAAAGGTTTTAGAAGATGAGGGGCAGAGCTCACAAAAGTTACTTTAATCATTAAAAACCATAATGTTGGAGAACTTTTTGAAAAACAGTGGATATCAAAATAGCTTTCAGGAAGATGACTCCTTAATAGTCTCTTAAGTTGTTGAAGAGAGCAAAAAGCGTAAGATCTGGAAGATAAAAGTTATATTTTAAAACATGCGAAAGAATACATTAAAACAAAAAAGAATGAGGAAAAAATATATTGTGTCTTAGAGGTTACATCCTGTTATAAATGAACATCACTTCCATAGGTCTCTTACAGTCCATTTAAACAATACTCAAACAACAAAAACTCCACTATTAAAACCGCTACAACACTCCTTTGGAGTTGGCGGTGAAGGAATTTATAGGCATGAAATACATCCTGGGAAGACTCATAATATCTGCAAGTGCGAAACTGTTTCTCTAAACTTCACTTATTACCTTAAACCCGGCTGAGTAGGGATGAGCTACAACTTAAAGCTTCTCATCCTGGGCGGGAGCAATTTGAAGCCAAAGGGCACTTTGCTATAGTTAATTCACGTGACCACAAATATAACATTCTGTAAGCCTCTCCTCACTGTCAAATATCAGCTGAGAATTAAAGAACAGAGGAAACTTCCTAACCACTTCCAATAATTCATGTGATTAAAGGTAATCATTACAGAGTTTGCATATGCTCAGTTTTCTTAAAGTCATAGGTCTTATTCCAAAAAACAGAAAGTATATGGCATTAATAAACCAAGCATGTCATGAATTCTAAAATACTAAATTAAGCCCTTTTTCTCTTGCTTAAAAACCAGTTATATCCATGACAAAACTGTTTAGTGTTTTGCAACATGTCAAAAAAAAAAAACAAAAACATTTCTGCATGAGTGTCCCACTAATCTTTATCTAGAGTTATTATTCTTGGACTTTCTACAAGTGTTTCTTTTCAAATAATTTATTAATTATTAACACAACAACTGGTAAGAATAACATGAGGACTTGAATACTTTAACCAAGCAGTGAAGGCAACAAAATTCCTCTTTAAATCTGCTCTCCTGTCTGAATTTTTATACACCCAAACAACCCTGTTCCTTCATTTCTACAGGCGTAACCAGAAGAAAGTTGCATTTCTTGGCCATCACAAATTCCACGTCAAATCTTCTATGTTCTTCAATGTTCTGACAAAGGCCTCTGGTCCTGTGGCTCATGCCTAGGTGATCCAGTCTTACTCTCAATGAGAGAGATCTCTAGCACAGGTAAGAGCAGCTGAAAGGCATCCTGGATGTAGGAGGCACTGTTTGATGCCTGCCAGGATTGAAAAAACAAGAAAAAAGAATAAATTACAGACACTTAAACGATATGCTGCAAGACAACAAAGGAACAGATTAGTTTTGCAATCTAACTGAATTCATAGCCTAGCAAGTAAGAATAAAGACTTAGCTATTACAGAAAGAAGAACCTAGCTCTTACGATGATACAACAGCACCAGAAGATGTGAATGTTTTTGTCCAACTTGCCCATCAGAAATGGCAGCTGTCTTTTGGCAACCTGCTCAAACTTGGCATTCAAAGCTTATTTATTCCTTGATTGAGTGGGTAGATTCTGTCACAGTACTGTGGTAAATTACTGAAACAGGCTTTGAGAAGGCTATGAATCCTGTACCTATAGGATTTCCAGCCCATTGTGATAGTGCTTCTTCCATGGACTCAAAACATGGACACAACACAACTGCTCACAAATATAAACAAGGAACACTGCTTCCAAAGATGATACAGTCTAGATATATTCCTAACTCACACAACAAACATTTATGAGAAGCGTTATAGAATCATTATGCTCAGAGTTTGCCAGACTTCATTTATGTTTGAAAAGCTTTCACCTTCCAAAACAATAACAAAGAGTTCATTACATTAAAATAAAAATGTATAATTTCAAGGACAAGAGTGTTTCAAATCTGTAAACAAGAAAATCAATTCAAAAATAGCAACAGGGAGCCCATATCAAGTGAGATTAACTTTTCAAATCTATCAATGGCAAGTACTCCTACTGAAAAATGCAGTGTTTTAAAATAAATTTTTTTTTAATGCAGTGTGACAGTTTTTTCCTCTCTTAGTGCCAAGCGTCTGCAGCCTGAACCCTCTCCTTCTGTTGCTCCCTAGCTCTCAGATATAGCCAATGCCATGGGTTTCTGAGACCTAAAAGCCCGACTGGCCTCTAGGTGCTCAACAATTACCTGGCAGACAAGAGCTACAACACAGGGTATGTACCATCCCAAGCAGATGTGGCAGCATGTGAAGCTGTCTCTGGCTCACTGCCTGCCAACTTGGGTTGTACTCTACATTGCTATAATCACATCTAGTCTTATGAAAAGGAAAACACCAGACTGCCAGAAGTAAAGAAAGTTTTGGGCAAGTATGGTCCTGCCAATGTGGAAGACACTATAGGAAGAGAAGCTACAGACAGTAAAGATGATGACATTGATCTTTTTGGATCTGATGAGGAGGAGGGAAGTGAGGAAGTGAAGAAGCTAAGAACCCAGTATGATTCAAAGAAAACCAAAAAACCCGTGCTTGCTGCCAAGTCTTTCATCTTACTAGATGTGAACCATGGGATGACAAGACAAGACACGGCAAACTTAGAGGAGTGTATCACAAGTATTCAAGCAGACTGCTTGGTCTGAGGCTCCTCTAACAAGTTCCAGTGTGATATAGAATTACAAAACCTCAAATATGGTATATAGGTGAAGATGATAAAATTGGAACAGACGTGCTGGAGGAGGAGATCACCGATTTTGAAGACTATGTACAGTTCATGGACATGGCTGCTTTCAACAAGAGCTAAAAAAAAATCTATTCTGCATCACTGCACTTATATAAAAGCTTGAAAGATGAAAAATTAGAATAATTAAAACATAAAATTCAGTGTGATATTTGATACTGAATTTTCCACCGAGATCTCAATGATATCTCTAGTTAAATCTCTTATTTTACACATAAAAATAATGAGTTTCCAAGAAGGTATATGCCTGGTCCATAGTCATACAACAAATCAAGAAAGATCAAGGCAGGACAGGGCTCTTGGTTTTCAAAGCCATTTCAACTATACCACTTGCAATTTACTGAATCACAAACTATAAATATTTTTTAAAATTGCTTAAATGATCAAATAAAGATTCCCCCTAATTATTCAATAAAAACTGTGCAGTTAAGGAATTAAAATTTCCTTGATGGTAATTTTTAAAGAATTTAAAACTAGAGGAGTAACAGTCTAGTACCTAAAAATGTTTTTCAATTAATATTTAACACTTAACTATTAAGTATATTTTCTCCCCCCGACTTTCATAAACATGTGTTTAATAGATCATCAAAAGTCTAAGTTGTTTGCAAAAATTTACAAGACAGAGTTCTTAAAACCTGGAATTCAGAAAGCATCACAAAGGGAGGTAATAAAATCAAACACAGGATCCTCTTATACCCCCTTTTCCATGTCCTTAAACCATCCAAATCTCCTCAAATCTAATAGACTGATGAGGATTTATGTAAATCTAGTACCCTTTTGACAAAACAAAGCAAGATTTCTTGGCAAGGAAATGACAAAATGTTTTATTTTGTTTTGTTCTGTAACAAATCTCCTCTGCATAAACCAGGTGAGTTTTTTAGGAAGCAGTGCTTGCCTGTTTGTAATTTTCAGCCTTTCGTGTTTATCAGCTGGTATTCAGATGTGTTTCATTACTGAGAATTGTCCATTAAGCTGGTCAAGGGGCAGTACTAAGTAATGACAGTTTCAACTGTATGCTTTGTTAATTAGGGAGCAGGGAATACACATAAAATATTACTATTTTGATCACATCTGCATCACTGGCTAAATTACCAATCTGGTTTAAAAAAAAGCCAAAAACTAGAAAAAACTTAAGAAGAGTTAATACATAATACCTTAAGAGTCAGAGACTTAAAAACAATTACTACTAACCTCTAGAAATACTGCAGTGATTAATGGGTTAAGGATATCTGCCTTTTCTTTGACCTGGAATAAAAGATACAACTTTAAGTGAATAGAGCAGGTTAAAAAGCAGTAAGTAGAGTATGATCCCACTTTGAAACACACATATACCCATACACAAATATAAACACAGAAAGACTAAACTGAGAGGGGGCAAAATGTCATTTCTGGAAGGTGAAATGTTAAGTGCTTTAAACTTCCTTATGCCACCCTGTACTATCCATATTGAGAGCACACTGCTATAAAACACTATTAAAAGAAACTGCTTTAGAGTCTTTTATTGACTTTAAAAAGTATCTACATTTTGGAAGAGGGGATGGGGTGGGAAAGGTACATTTGACCACAAATTTTAAAACCTTTTTTTTTAAGTTGGAGTCTAACTCTGTTGCCCAGGCTGGAGTACAGTGGCATACTCAGGGCCACCACAGCCTCGACCTGCTGGACTCAGGCGATCTTTCCGCCTCAGCCTTCCAAGTAGCTAGAACTACATGTCGATACCACCACGCCTGCCTAATTTTTTGATTTATTGTAGAGACGAGGTCTCACCAAGTTGCCCAGGCTGGTCTCGAACCCCTGGGCTCTGGCAATCCTCTCGCCTTGGCCTCCCAAAATGCTGGGATTACAGGATTGAGCCACCGTGCCCAGCCTCTAAAACTATTTTAAAACAAAAGAAGTAGATATGGAACAAAAATACTCAAAAATACTCAGTGGCTTTTAAGATGGGCTGCTTAGAAAAGTTTTATTTCATGAAAAAAATGCAAACGTAATACTCACAGGTATAGTTGATTTACTGGCATAAAATATCTTTATGGAACACATGGAAAGATTTGGCCTCATAAGATTAACTTCAGGAAACTCAGCTTCTCTTTTAAAGAAAATACTAACAGGAAAAATGAAGCTATACTTTAAAATTGCTCTTTATAAAAACAACCTAAACTCAAATTTTTAAAAAATTAACTTGAGCCGCAGTCTTAAAAAAAATTTAATGTTCACAACTAGGACTAGAAAAAAATCAATCAATCAAGTTTAAGAGCCCATAGCAGCTTCACTGCCACGTGGACACTGATACACTTAATATAAGATGATTTCCACTGGCTTGTTCAAAACACCCTTGACTTCATCCTAACCCATTATTACTAGTTTCTGAATCATCTTCCATAGTTCACATACCTGCTGTAAATTTTTACAATTCCAATTCAAAAAATTTTTTAAAAACCTCTAGCTTTAACTACAGCTCTCTCACTAGTTGGTAACTACGTATGAGTATTATCATAGCAGCAAGGAACTGCTCTTTAAAATCCAAGTCAAAATTTGGGGGTTCTATTTTATCAAGGTCTACATTTCTGTTACAGGTTTCAGAGGATAGCATAAAGAATACTGACAACAAAAGTTGTTAGAAGAGAGCAAAAATAAGTTGCAAAAATCAGTTAGATATAGACAAGTTGAGCCTAATATTCATATGAAAGTGCAGAGGGTCCCAAATAGTCAAAAAGTCTTGAAAATAAGAACAAAGTTGTAGGGCTCACACTTCTTGATTCAAAACCTACTACAAAGTGACATTAATTAGATAATATGGTACTGGCATAAGGATAAAATGCAGATCAATGGAATAAAAATGAGGGTTCAGAAATAAACCCACATATTATGGTCAACTGATTTTCAATAGAGGTCAAGACAACTGAATGGGTGAAATAACAGTCTTTTCAATAACTGGTGCTAGGATAGCTGAAAAGTTTATATGCAAAAGAATGAAGCTGGACCCCTACATCATACCACTCACAAAAATAAACTCAAAATAGGTCATAAACATAAATGTAAGAGCTAAAACAAAATGCCTAGTAAAAAATACAGGAGTAAATCATGGTCTTGGGTTAGGCAATGATTTCTTAGATATAGCACCAAAGATTAAAAAAATAAAAATACTATTAGAACTTATGTGCAAAGGACATTATCAAGAGAATGAAATAACAACCCATGGACTGGGAGGAAATATGTATACATCATGTATCTGATAAGGAACTTGTATCCAGAAAATATAAAGAACACCTACAAGTTAATATTAAAAAAAACAAACAACTCAATTTTACCAGCAGGTAAAGTACTGACATAGACATTTTTCCAAAAAAGGCAAACAAACAGCCAACAAGAATATGAGAAGATGTTCAATATTCTTAGAGAAATGTAAATTAAAACCACAATGAGGTATCACTTCACATCGACTGGATGGATAAAATTTGAAAAAGATTAACAAGTGTTGATGGTGACAAGAATGTGGAGAAAGTGGAAGCCTCATACATTGCTGGTGAGAATATAAAATCATGCAGTCACTCTGGAAAAACTGAGTAGGTCTTTCATGACCTATATTGCCCATATGACCCAGCAATTCCACTCCTAGCTATCTACCAAAGATAAATGAAAACATATGTTTACACAAAAACTCATACATGCATGTTCATAGCAACATTATACATTATAAAAAAGCAGAAACAATCCAAATGTTTATATAGTGATGAACAGATAAATAAAATGATATATATCCATAAAACAATATTATTTGATAATAAAAAGTGCTAATATATGCCACAATGTGGATGAGCCTCAAAAACATTAATGCTAAATGTTTTTGTAAAAATATCACATATTGTATGATTCCATTTATATGAACGATACAGAGCAGGCAAATCTATAAAGAAGAAAATAGATTAATGTTGCTTAGTGCTAGGGAAATGTGGAAGGAAAGGGGATGGAAAGTATGATATTTGGAGAAGGATGATGAAAATGTTCTAAATTTAGATTATGGTAATGATTGCACAACTCTGTAAATATACTAAAAACAACTGAGCTGTACACTCAAAGTGGGCAAATTTGCGGTAAGAAAATTGCTTTAAAAAAAAAAACAGCCATTAATCCAATAAGAAGCATGCATTCTTACCCCAGCAGTTGTTAGGCAGGTGGTGAACTCTTTAGACAGAGAGGACAACTCTTTACACAATACAACTGTCATCCTAGGAAAGAAAGGGGAAGACAGAAAAGTTCTTTTTAAAATTTCTTTCTTCTTAAAAAATGAAATACATTTACAGCTGTCAGAAGAAAACAAATCACTCCTGGAACTAAATGTGAAAGGAGAAAGCTTTTAAGGGGAATAAATGCAGTAGTCCCCCTTAGGTGCAGTTTTGCTTTCTGCGGTTTCAGTTATCCATGGTCAACTACAGTCTGAAAATATTAAATAGAAAATTCCAGAAATAAACAATTCTTAAGTTTGAAACTGCATATCATTCTGAGTAGTCTGATGAAATCTTGCACCATTCTGCTCCATCCCACCAGGACATGAATCATTCTTTTGACCAGCATATCCACACTACTGGTCCATTTGTCACCTAGTAGCCATCTCACTTTACAAAGTGACAATTATGGTATCACAGTACTTGTATTCAAGTAACTCTTCTTTTACTTAATTACTGGCCCCTGTTGTAGTTTGAGATGCCCCTTCCAAAACTCATGTTGAAATTTTATTCCTAATAAGGCAGCGCTGGGAGGTGGGGCCTAGTGGGAGTCACAAGGAGTACCACTCTGATGAACAGATTAACACTGTGTCAAAGGAGTGAGATCTCACTCTGGCAGGAATGAATTAGTTCCCATGAAAGCAGGTTATTAAGCGACCTAGCTCTCATGCATGTCTCTTTGCATACCCACTCACCTTTCTGCTTCTCCACCATGTTGTAAAGCAGCATGTGGTCCTTACCAGAAGTCAAGCAGATGCCACTGCTATACTCTTAGACGTTGTAGCCATCAGAATCACGAGCCAAACCAACCTCTTCTTTTTTTTTTTTTTTTTGAGTTGGAGTCTCACTCAGTCACCCAGACTGGAGTGCAGTGACCGCTCTCGGCTACTGCAACCTCGACCTGCTGGGCTCCGGCGATCCTTCCGCCTCAGCCTTCCAAGTAGCTAGAACTACAGGCACGTGCTACCACGCCTGGCTAATTTTTTGATTCACTGTAGAGATGAGGTCTCACCAAGTTCCCCAGGGAGGTCTCGAACCCGCGGGCTCAGGCAAT